AAAACAAGCAACAGATAACAACAGTATAACATGATGCCAATATACTGACTCCATTAAAACATATAACCATACAACCATTCATACAAAGCACCATGGATTAGACAGCACAGCTACAACAATACATAACAACAGACAAACATGCACTCAGATTAAATACTATCAAAGGTGTTCACATTTTTGATTGCCTAAAAGCCAGTCCTTAAGACGGTGAGTGAATGTATGGTGGGAGGTGCAATTTCTAATCTCCACTGGCAATTGGTTCCATAATTTAGAGGCTCTCAGAGAAATATAATTGACCAAAGGAGCTGGACCTAAGAGGGACTACACAGTCTCCTCTTAGGGCAGACCATGTGGTTCTGCTGTTGGATTTTTTCTGCTGTATAAAAGTGCAGAGTGGTGGGGGAGCCTTGCCATTGATAATCTTAAAAATGAGGCATGCGTCAATGTGTTTTAAAATATTTTCCCAGCTGAGCAAGTTATATTTGTCAAAAATGTAACAGTGGTGGTAAAGCTTGGGTTTTCTGTCCAAAACGTTAAGCGCTTGTTTGTGAAGTGATAAGATAGGCCTTAATGTTGTGCTATTCACCTGGGTCCAGCTCGTCATACAATATGTTAAGTGGGGAATGATCATTCATGTAGAGCTTTGCTACAGGTGTTGTCAAACAGTTCCTTATATATCTAAAGTTATGATGACATCACCTGTGTTTGAATGTAGTGGTCACGAATAAACCCTTACCAACAGTGACTGATATATATTTAGAGGGACATTTATGTATTAACACTAATAATGTTGGATATTCATGACAACATAATGGTTAAGGAGACCTTAAAGACCCAAATCATCAATGAGCTGTGTATGCAGACATTATTAGCTATTTTTTCACAACCTCATTTTGCTTTTGTTGGCTGTTGTTTTCTAAAAACTAAAAAACTAAATCAAACATTGATTCACACAGTATCGCTATGGAGGACATGTTCCTTCAGCAACATGAACACTGGTTTATTTTGGGTTGTTCCCACACACTCTGTCCTGCTGCCCTGAATAATCACTGGTTCACTGAATCTGATGTAACACCTAACAAGGCACAGTTCTTCTCTGTGCATAGACAAAATGCGGCAAACTACTGAAGTAAAATAGCTCCTTGTATCCTCCGGCTTAGGAAACGGGTGAGATTCGACAGTGCTGCAGAGTTCCTGGCTGCCTGTGCCAGCGGGGACACTGAGGAGGCCCAGGTGATGCTGAATGAAGCCAAAGAAACCAAACTGAGGAACGGGGAGGATGTTACAGAAATAATAAACTGTGCTAACGCAGATGGAATCACTGCTCTCCACCAGGTGAGGGAGCTTCTCCATCAAAGGTTCAGTTGATGATGATTATTTATTGATGCTGTGATGCATCATTTTTCCCTTTTTGTTTTCTGTCTTCTACAAGGCCTGCATAGATGGCAGCATGGAGATTGTGTCCTTCCTGTTGGAGCGTGGTGCCAACGTGAACCAGGTTGACAGTGAAGGATGGACTTCACTACATGTTGCTGCTTCCTGTGGTCACCCTGACATTGCAGAGTGTGTATTAAATGTCTCAACAGTTAACAAAAAAAAAACAGCATTTCTGCTGTATAATACTTAAATCTGTGCTGCTTTGGGGACATCAGAATGCAGTGTGGGTGCCGGGGTATTTTTGTATTTAACAATACTAACATTGTTGTCGCATTTGGCTGGACAATAACGCAGCTTAAGCTTCAGCGGACTTGCCAGGCACTTAAATGCTCTATGTTTTTTTTTTTTTAAATGGATACCTCTTTTTTTACAGTCAATCTTTTCTTGTCTGTCATATCTTTTGTGTCAATTAAGATCAAATGTATTGGCAACCCAAAAACAGATAATGTGATATTATTACGTCTTCCCAAATTTGAGTTGTAAATCTTGTTTTGGCTTTGTAAACATTTATGCAGCTACATAGATTTTCTCACTTCCCTCGTTTTTCGTCAGATTTCTTTTGCAGCAAGGGGCCTCTCTTTCTGCAGTGAACTGTGATGGCGACGTTCCTCTGGACATTGTTCTGGATGAGACCACTGAGTCCCTCCTTCAGGATTACACTCTAAGACAGGGTGAGTGCTGTTCTTACAAGTAAAAAAAAGTGTTTATTGATGAGGGCTCACAGCCTTCCATCCATTGTATCTATGTGAGCAACTGAGCGTCCTTACTGTAACTGTAAAATATCATACACACATTTTTTTTTGTAAATCCCCAAAGCCCAGGATGGACATGGGTCAACTTAGGCCTGGCCGGCTCTCAGTCTTGAAATGCACTGGCCAAAACTCTGCACACTCCTTTTGAAAAGGATTTTGGACTTAATCTGGTTTGAAATGTGTTTGTTTCAAAGTACATTCTGCTAAATCAACAGCACATACTGTAATTTGCATATTCAAACTGAGCTGCGTTCAACCAGCCTGTTAATGGTCCCTGGTGATTTGCTTGATTTGCTGTTCACAGATTAAAGGACAAGATTGAAGGCAAGACAATAAGTTGGTTTGATGAAATGTTGGATCATGTCAGAAGGCAAAAGGTTTTTTTCCCACACTTAAAGGCCTCTCTCATTAAACTGTGAGGAGACATACACATGTCGATATATGGGGATAAATCTGCAGGTTATTACCATATCTTCACAACGTTTCCAGGCATTGATATTGTTGTACTCAGTTTGACATAAATGATGATAAATACTTTTAAGGTAGCTTTGCTGTAAAACACTCTGTCATAAAAACAGTTGTTTGGGTTAAAATGTGTTTATTTGCTGATATAGATATATTAATGCCAAACCTAATCTCTTTGTTTGTAAAGGAGTACAAAAATCAGAAGAAAATAATTTAACATTCTGTTGGACAACCTAATGGTTTAACTATTAGCTCGACTTGTGGAAAGAAGGAGCTGTTTGGTTCCAGCCTCAAAGTTTTTCAAAATGTAACTAGATATATTCAGTGGCACAGTTATGCAAACAGGGATCAACACAGAGAGCAACAAATGGAGAGAGTTTAGAATACCCATGTAGATCTGGGTAACATTTTGAATCCCACCAACGCCAACAACGTGCTGTATTAATATGACTGACCATCAATTTAAAATCAAATATTGGAACAATAACAGTACCATAATATCCTTGTTTATTGACCAATAAAGAGTTGGCAACAGATACCGTCTGAAATAATTAGGGAAATGTCATGCAATGTGAATGTGTGTGTGCCTCATACTGTAGACAAAGACCACTCAAAGGATGAATATATTTGACTTCATTTTTGGTGTCTAGGTGTTGACTTGGAGGCAGCCAAGCGGCTGGAGGAGGAGCAGATAATGAAAGATGCCAGAGCTTGGCTAAATGATGGTCCACCCACTGATCTGAGGAACCCCAAGACCGGAGCCACACCCCTGCATGTTGCTGCCGCCAAAGGATACCTGGAGGCACTCAAGTAATCATATCCTTATTATTTTCATAATGGATTTACTTTGATATACTTTTACCATATTTTCTTCTGGGGGATGTCAATACATTGTCTCATGCAGTCACACTGTTGTTGTCCAGGATATTGTGTCAGTGTGGGCTGGATGTGTCAGCCGTGGACTTTGATGGCTGGACGCCTCTCCATGCAGCAGCACATTGGGGGCAGGGGGAGGCCTGTCGTGTTCTGACTGAACAGCTGTGCAATATGGAGGCCCGCAGCAACGCAGTAAGTACACATAAATAATGAAAACACTCCTAATGGCAGCATAGTTCTGTGTTTTATTCTGTTACTTCATATACAGGAAAGAGCGTTTCCCATAACATTTAGACTAGATTATTACTAAAACAGTGTGCATTAACACTGAAGAGAAAGATGAATTGTGGAAATATATTTCTTTATTTCCTGTTTAATTTGATCATGTAACTTCCTCTCTATGATTGAACTTTTCAGGGTCAGACACCTTTCGATGTAGCTGATGAGAGTGTTGGGGAGCTTCTGGAGGAGTTGTCACAGAAGCAAGCCAATGTGAGAAAGTGGTTATTGTCTGGTATCGTATGTATTCATTAAATGTGATTCTTGAGCAAACTTACAGCTGCCCTTTCTCTGCCTCTTAGTGGCGTAATGAGCAGTCCATATCTGAGAAGCAAAACCCACCAGGTTCCAACACAGCAAATTCACAAAACAAACGGCGGAGGTCAGTATCTATCCTGAGTAAAAATATGTTCATGCTAATTCAAATGTTTTGAAAGCTCATTCATATAAACAGCCACTGCCTTTTTTTTTTTTTTAAACAAAAGTCAGACACAGAATAATAAAGAGTTCCTTAAGAGTCTCTTTGAGCATTGTCAACCTATGAGATCCCTCACTGCCATTATCTGTCCTTACTCGTCTCCCAGGAGCTCCGTGTGCAGGATGAGCAGTAAAGAAAAGATGAACGTTCAGGACCAGTCTAAAGAGAGGGGAGTTTCAGGAGGTCTGGAGCTGAGTGAGGAGAAAGACAGCAGTCCAGGTAAACTAGGCGCAGTCTTTACAGTTTCACAGAGAGCAGGAAATACTCTTTTTAATGTTAGTGGTTGTTCTGATTACAAAAGATGTTGGTTCTGTTTTTACAGAAAGCTCCACCGTGTCCAGTCCAGACACTGAGAGTGTGACCACATCCACAGTCAGCCCTGCTGACAAGGTATAAATCACCCTTCATGATCCTGTATGCCAAGAAGTAGCTCTCTCTCAACCAAGTTTTGTCATGCACAATACTAAGTGCATGTAGATAAGCTGAAATAGAAGAGGTCAAATGTGATGAAACATCCTTAAAAGGCTTAAACAATTTAAGATGTTTTACGATGTTGTTAAAAAGAAAACTTGCATGGATCATCTGCTTCCCTGCAGCCATGCATATGATAAACAACCTATTTTCTACACAGATGTAAAACCAGAAACAACTGACTGGTGTTAACCAGAAGAGTGCATTAATAGCTCTTGATTTTAAGCATAGCACGGTCTGTTGGCTCAATGACAGTAACAAAAGTTTGAGTATTTAGCAGCAGATGAATGAAAATATAGCTTTTGTTTAAATTTAAATGTATTCCCGTGTCTATAAAATCTATATATGACATCTACATTTTCTTACAAATATCGTCTAAAGAACAAAGTATGACGGAGAACAACATTTTTCAAGTCAAGTAACCATGAGAAAGACGAAGTGTGGTTGTGTCTTGCTCTTTCAGAACAATGGCAATAATACATATTCCCCAATGCAGAAGTTTTTCAGTCAAAATAGGTTTGTAATGAGCCCGTTTCATCCGAGAGTTTGAACCCACATTACCCAGCATACATGTGGACATGTGATGAAGGCTTTTGGTCTAGATAAAAACACATCTTCTAAGAAGAATTTCCCCTCTGAGGAAATAAATCCTAACTTTACTCGGACACAGTTGATTACAGTTAAATTCACCTGTTTCCCCCCCGTGACTAATGTGGTTCAGACACCAGAGGAGAAGGACGAGGAGGAGAAGGAGCAGGACAAAGCAAGCCGCACTGCCAGAGTCCAACCCACTCCACAGACAAGGGATGCTGCAGCTGAGAGCCCAAATACCCCCAACGCTGACAGGCGCAAGTAAGAAACATGGACCTCTGCTTAACTCATTTCTTTCTCTGTGCCATACCAAATTGGTTCTGTATATCTTAAAGATCTCTCATATTTTCTTCTGTAATTTCATAAATCTCATAACAACTGACAAAATGTATTTATTGCAGCATGATTTATGGATGTCTTGTGTGTTTAGGTTCCAGGCTCCAGTCAGAGATGAAGAGTCGGAGTCTCAGAGGAAAGCCCGCTCTCGGATGATGCGTCAGTCTCGCCGCTCCACACAGGTACTTTTATTCTATTCATACTGATGCTTGGTCTTTTCTTACTGTACAACGCACAGGTGAAATACTTTACCAATATCTTATTATTCCGGAGGGGTAACTGTGGTGAGTACAGCAGAAAGGCTTCAAAGTGGCTTTGCTTTTTGCTCTGTGCCTGCAGGGTGTGACTCTGACAGACCTGAAGGAAGCTACAGACCAACAGCCTCGCAACATCCAACCTGTCAGCCCCATTGTTACCCTCACACCAGCTGAAAGGGGTAAGTTGGGAGAAATGCACCAGCAGCGACTTCTGTTGTTTGACCAGCTGGACTGATTTTTGGGAGTTAAATGTCTGCACAGTCTCTTGTTATTAGCCATGAGAACAAAACGAGTGGCCACATTCACAAATAAAGCTCTGATGATATTATCTTGTGAATTTATCTTTGGGCGTCATCACATTATTTGTGATATAGCCGTCAGAAAAGTTATGAAAAAGTATCTCTTAGGAAGCTGTACTAAAATGTATTGATCATTGTGCCTGTGTATCAGGAATAAAAAGTCTGCACAGACTAAAAAAACACGAGTAAACAATACATTAATATGGCTTATTTACAGGTGGAGAAGTTTAATTTCAAAACAACATGTCTTTTCTCACTGCATATTTGAACCACCTTTCTTTAGTCACCAGATTAAAATGGCCCTTATCAAGAAAAATAAATAGAACTCTGCGAGGTGTAAACTGTTCATCAGTCACATCATGTGAGTCTTGATACCGTTTACTGAAGTAAAGGTCTGCTAAATACAAACATGATGTGGATTTTGGGTGGAGTGCTCTTCTGGAGTTCAAAAAGGAAATGAGGTATTTCTCACATTGGCTCCGAGGGCTACTGCTGTGAAGAATATTAGGTGTGGTTCATCTCACAGGGTGGCTACTATGCATATTCTCATATTGCTGTTGAGTGAACCATGACGGTAAACAACTGACACAATCCACTTTTTCGCGTAACTGAGTTAATTTCCTATCTGATGTGTCTGAATGACAGCATGTTTAAATACATCAACTTGTTAACCAAATAACTACAGGTCATTTTACAAAACAGCTTTAGTATGTGCACTTGGATCTCAACATTGAGTATGGGATGTTGAGTATGCAGTGTAACACAGGAGGTGAAGTGGAACAATGTTTTAGTTGCGTGCAATTTTAAATTTCTTTTAAAGAATTATTAACATTTATTGGACATAATAATCAACCAACAGCCACCCTATTGTCATCACCTGGCTCGTGGATAATTGCAAAAGACGAGAGGTTTCAAAACGGTGGTCACATTTGAGTCCATAGCTCAAATTAATATAATGTTAGTTTCTAAGGGGGTCATATTTCAGCACCACTGCTAGATGCATATAGGGGAAACACTGGTATGGGATGTTGTTACGTTGATTTCTCTGTCCATACAGAGTTTTCTGTCAACCTCTATTTGTTTCAGATACAGACCCGGTGAAGCCAGCGGAGCCGGAGGGTGAAAAGCGCTTGGGAGTAAAGGAAAGAAGGAGAGGGAGGAGGGAGAGACGCTCCACTGGCATTGTTCTGCCGGGTGAAGAGGTAAGAAACTTAACATCATCACAGACCAGGCAGATACCTTACCAGGAGTTAGGTAGGAGGTTTTGTTGCTGAACAGAGGTTTGCTTTACCGCTAGAGACCAGCTCAGTATTCTTTCATTTTCATTGAGCTGCGTGAGTACTGAAAGCAGGGGAAAGGATAGCTCAACCAGTTCCTCTTTGTCATAGATAAACTGGAGTTTTGATGAGAAAACTGCTTGTTTGTGTTTTATAGATGAAACTTTGTTGTCCTGATATTGAAAACATGAGAGGTAAAAGATTAGAGCCAAATGTTTTGGTGACTAAATGTTGCTTGAGAAACCTCAAAACACCTTCAGAGGTTGTTGAGCAGAGCCATCCAGCCAAAGTATCAGAGAAATACATTTGTAAAAACAACTTTGTGACATGTTTGATTTGGGAACTGAAAGACTCTGAAGCTGTAAAATCAGTGCAAACTTTCACTTTGTATATTGGGTAAGTCATACAGCCTTTTCACACAGGGACTAATCACACTAATGAACTTTCATAATTCTCTGAATCCAATAAATAAATAAAAACTCTTGATTCTTTTAAAACAATTCAAGTTCATCACTGTATGTTGTCAGGTATGCACATATATCCAAGTTATAAACCTTCAGTAAAGACACCTTAGCTATCCAAAGGGTCTGATTTCTGTCCTCATCTATTTCCCATCAGTGAAGTCAGGAGATCATCCTGACTTTGTTTTGGAGCAGATGGCCCAGCTTTTTTTTAAGACATGTATGGAATTGACTAAATTCATGGAATAAATTGTAAATTTCAAGATTTAAGAGCAGAAGACGTGATGCAGACGACTTAAAGATAGAAATGATTCAATCATTTTGACTGAAGTTAGAATTGAGAGATTTTGAAGGGGGCCAAAACTATGATAATATGTGATAAAGAATTGGTAAACATTTGCAACCCACCTGAGTTTTGGTGGTAAGGTTTTTTTTTTTTGCTTCTGCACATTTTAAAGGTCACATATTATGCAACATCCACTTTACCATGTTATCATGTGTGTCCCTCCTTTCTACAAACCCCCCAATGATGAGAAAAGTCCATCATCTCCATCTTTTGCCTGCTCCACTTTTCATAAACGTGTGCTCAAACAGGCCATTTGGAGATTTTCACTTCATGACATCACAAAGGGCAGTAACCCCTCCCCCAGGTGGGTGACACTCTAACAAGTAAGGTGTTTGTTCTGCCCTCTGTCTGCTCTTGCCTTCCCACCGTAAACAATAAGGCATGAAGCGAGAAAGCCCAAGTCACATCCCCTTCCAGAGAGGGGGCGTGGTCAGACACAGCTCATTTGCATTTAAAGGTACAGACACAGAAACAGCCTGTTCTGAGTGGAGGGGTTTATAGACATGAGCAAATACAGGATCAGAGTGGATTTTTATCAAGAAACTTCACAGACATGCTTTGAGGAGCTCTGGGGTGTATTTAAACTGGTTGAAAAGGAGTATAACATGTGACCTTTAATACAAGTAAAATAAGAGAGAAGCACCATACTGAGGAAAGAAACAAGCTCTTTTTATTTCTTCTGCCATGTTGTGTGTATCACATCTTTGAATGAGTCGGGTAAATAAAGTGTGTTCTGACTGCAGTGATGATAATCTGAAGTGATATCTTTCAGAATGAAGATGATGATGCTCGTTTGGAGGACACAAACAGTGACAGTACTCCAAAGTGAGTGTCCTTTCTTTTTTCTTTCAGTCATTCACTTTTCTTCTGTTCTGACATTTTGTGTAAATTCACTTCAGCAAAGATGACAGAAGCTCTGTAAGTCCTACCTTTCTGTCATTTAATAAGAGGAAGTCTGTATTTGTGGTGTATCATGTTATGACTTGTGTAAGGCTTAAATTCTTATTAAACAGCCGCAGGGGAAGACTTCTTGTTGTTATGGGTACCTGCTGGTTTGCCATGTAGCCAACATCAAAGCAGTGTTATTTTTAGGCTTTAAAAGTACATTGTTTTTAGCTTGAAGTTTTATTTTTGTGTCTCTGCAGTGAGAGTGAACTGGGAGACTCATCAACTGGCTACAGAACGGTATGTGTACGACCCTTCTCTTGTTGAAAAAAGTCAGGGCCTAAAGCCAAGATCAGAACAGGAATGATACACAACTGGCTTTAAGAAACATGAACAGAAATCCCCGGCGGGCTGAACTGTGGCATCTACCCAGCTGTTTTTACCTGTGTGTGTGTGTGCGTGTGTGTGTGCGTGCGTGTGTGTGTGCGTGCGTGTGTGTGTGTGTGCGTGTGTGTGTCCAGCTGTACTTCAAGGTGCTGCAGGAGAACCTGTCTTTGAAGGACAAGCTGCAGGAGATGGAGCTACTATTGAGTCAAAACAAAGTGGAGCTGGAGCGACTACGACAGGTTGGGCAGGTTTGGTTCTGCACTTGACCTTTTTTAAGTGTGTGTGTGTGTGTGACATAATCATAAGTGTGTTTTCTGACGTTTGCCTGAGGCAGCCATAACAACTTTAAGAATGTGAATATCTTGTTTAAAAAAAAAACACATTCTGCTTGATGTTTAATTTTAGTTTTTTCAAGGATGTGGATGTCTTTTCTTCTTATGCAAACAAGTCTTTGGTGCTTGATTTAGACTTAAGCAGCTGAGTGGCCCCACAGTCACCTCAACAAAAACTTGGTAAATTAATTCTTCTCTCTGTTGCAGAGTCAAGAAAGCAGCACGGAGAGGCCGGCCCTGCTGGAACTGGAGCGATTTGTAAGTGTCAGTTTTTCCAGAAACAGATCCTGTGTTTATTTATATATATATATATTTATAAATCACTTCAACAAGTGCAGTACATTCAAGAGTGTAGACCTTTTTTATTAGGCAAGTTTATTTGTAAAGGCAATAGAATCCACAGCTTGATTCACAGGAGGGGGGCATAGAAACTAAAGGCTACTTCACTGTGCCTTGTTTTCATCTTGAGAACAATGAGGAAACCTGTCCCAGCTATCCTGAAGGGTCTGTTCAATTCATGACGCATACGTAAAATCAGGCATTTATTCAAGACCATTTAATGCTTTATTGACAAGCTGTAGGATTACAAAATGTTTCCTGTTAGCATGCTTTTTACCCTGAAACCTGTAAAGGCAACATTACAATATAAAATTATAAACACATGAAATCCTGTTTCTCAGGTGGGACTAGACTGATTTTGGTTTTGAAAAAGTGGCTGTTCAAATCAAGATTTGTTTTGTAGGTTATAACGACAAAGATGGGGGATAACTGACTTTGTCTCAAATGGAACTTTCATTTCCTGTTCTTGAGTTCAACCCGTGAAGTTTGAAGTGGAACTAGATCAAATGCAATGTGAGAGTGTCTGCATTTTAGCACCTTTTAGCAGAGCCGGTTCAGCAGAGCATGAGGCAGACGTATCAAATATATCTGCAGGGCTTGCCACTCATCGTTCTTTAAATAGCAGCAGGGAAACGTTTGTTCTCAGTCAGTTTGTGATGTTCAATCTTTTGTTAACAGGAGAAGTTGGCCCTCCAGAGGAAAGCTGTGGAACTGGAGGACGAGCTGAAGGTACGGATGTTCATTTCAACACAGATCACTGACTGACTGGAGCAGCTAAAATCATTAGCCTAAAATAATTATTGTAGAATTTACTCATCAGGTAGCATGTAAGAGGTGCTTCGCTTTTACTCATTTTAGAAGCGGGGCGCTGGTAACCTACTGGTTAGTGTGCACGCCCCATGTGCAGAGGCCTTAGTCCTCTGAGCGACAGCCTGGTTTTGAATCCTGCATGTCCTTCACCACTCTCTCTCTGCCTAAATGAGGCTGAATTATCTGCTCTGAATCACTCATTTGAGACGGACTAAATTTGGGTATTTTTCTTTTCTTTTTTTCTTTTTTTTTCTTCTGCATCAAATTGATCAAATGTTATCCTGCAAATTGGTGCAGTAAAATAATTTGTCAAACCTAATGAAACTTTGTTTGAGGAACCAAAGAGGTTTTACACCTTGGACTTCATTATTCACTTTATAATCTTGTAATCTCATCATAAATACATTTAAGCTGCAGTTTAGACAAACCCATTCTTATCTGCAACTAAGCATGAGTGATGCTGAGTGAGACAGCAACAATACAATGTGTTGATTCATAAAGGTGGGAATTAAACCACTCTTACCTCGTGAATCTTTACATGTAGAGGCCTAAACTGCAGTTGTAATTATTACCAGAAAGAAATAGAATGAGCTAAATTCAACAGCCTTACAGAGTTTCTAAACTGAACTATCTTCAGGACAGCTTCAAGGAGCTGCAGTAGGCTGTCAGAACTGAAGCTAAAACAAATGTTTGATGATGTTTCTGCAGGTTGTGGGGGATCTCAAAGCAGACAACCAGAGGCTCAAGGATGAGAACGCCGCCCTAATCCGAGTCATCAGCAAACTCTCAAGATGAGCTGTCGATAAAAAAACAAAACAACCAGTATGGAGATAAAAGTATTACATTCTTCTATTGCCCAACTCAGACACCACAGACCAGGAAGGGAGACGACAGCCTTGAACACAGCACAGCACATTCAACAGTAACTGGAACAGTTGATAGATTTCAGGGTTATTCACCTGTGTTTGGGTCTTCATGTTTTGGCAGATCTACTGTAAAACAAGCTGGACTGCACCTCCTGTGGACTGACAGGGCGTTTCCTGTTCAACATCCACTTTGATATTAAGTTTTTATTGTTGTATTTTTTTAACTGGAATATTTTAATGTGCTTCGCTCCTTTGATGCTTTGTATAGAATCTGTATTAAGAGTCTTAAAGCCATGCACAGTGCCAGCTAACGGTGATGTGACCTCTTCAGAGGTCAACAAAAAATGCCAGTCAGGTGTAAGGCTTGGTTACCCGGGGGGGGGGGACAAAAAATTAAATGTGCCAAAAAAACCAACTCTAGTTTTGCATGTCCTTCGGGGATAACGCAGTGGTCAGTGTTGTTTCTCAGGATGAGTGACGGGTCGATGCTTTCTGTTCTGGCTGGCTTCTGAAAAGGTGGACCAAATTTTGCATGCTCACTCCGCTCCCCGCTCCTCCGAATGTATATTTAAGATGTATATTTATGTACAGGGGCCATCTGTCCTGACAGTGATGTAAAGGTGTTTTCTTGGTTTGTGTTGTAAAAAAAAAAACTATGTTGATTTTTCGGGTGCTAAATCAAGGACGTAAGGTCATATTCAGAGGGGATTTTACAGAAATTGTTCGTTACAAACAAGATATGTCTTTCAAGGGGTTTAGGAGAACGCATGCTCTATCCTTCAGTACCGTAAATCAGTAGTTATTTCACTTTGCCATGTTGACTGGACACTTCTGAAAGCAGTGAACCCTAAGCTAAGTATTCTCCCTGTGACGGCTAGCTGTAGATTTTTCAACAGACAGGCCAGAGGGGTCAACTCTTGAATGTTTACTCCAGTTTTAAAGCAAACAACCTGCATGTCAAATTGTCTTTTTGATGCTGTGCCTTTCAGTATACATTTCTAAGTGATATTTCTATTTTGCTTTGGTAAACAAACACTGTAAAGTATAGAATACAGTATGGGCATAAATGATAAAGCCTCTGTGACTTCTTTAGTGGTCTTTGACGTTTGTTTTAAAAGCACGGTACAACGGTATAAGAAAGCAGTATAGTTTGGTTTGATGAAATTGTCACATTGGCAAATAAGTGTCAAAAATATTTGCAAGGTAGGTGAGAGAATGTGTTACCATTACCTAGAAGATGGTTAATTTTTTTAAGAGCCTTTCAACCCTGTGTCACCTTTTCACACACACACTTTCACACACTGCTTTAGAGGCTGCTATGCATGTACCAAACTGCCTATCTTTACATAGTTAAACATATTCATACACTAGTAGGTATGACTGGACTGCAGGTGCTGAATCTGGAAATCTTAGAAGACGACTCGATCGAGCACTAATCCATAGTCATCCCATGATCCCATCATTGGATGCATCAATGAAAGTGTCCCTCTTGTGAATTACTTGGATATACTTTAAGACACTGAGGTGATCGATTTAACTCTTGATTTAACAATTCCCAATAAAATCCTAAAATGTCCAGGCAGTGGGTTAAAAGAAAACGGTCCACCTTCACCAACACAAAACACCTCATGGTGTATTTACTTTTACTTTAAAAAAAAAAAAACCCATGCATGTCTTTTTTTAAATTTGATCAGGTATGACTGATCTTAATTGCACCAGACATACATAAAATATGCAATATTTGAGTTTGAAACCACTACATTTGCATAGAGAAAATGATTACATATCGTGCACTATTTTCAAAAGTTAAAGCTGCTAACCCTTTAGAATTTGTTAAAAGTGGAGTCATTAATGCAGTTAGAAGAAGAAGTGCTTTCCTGGTATGGATGGCTGGAAGTGTAGTGTTCTTGGGTACCCTGAACAGTTCTATAAAATGTAATTATTAGAAGCTATTGATTTAAAAAAAAAAAAATAGTGAATGCAATATTCAATATGGGGAGGGATGTCCCTGTCATATTCAAGCCCTCATTTGTCAGACTGCGATTCACATTGCGGTGGTGGAGTGGTTCCTGGTTCAAATCCGTATCGGACACAGAGCCTCTCTGTGTGATGCTTGCATGTTCACCCCATGCATGTGTGGGGTTCACTCCAGGTACTCCACACATCAGGGGCGCCAGCCTCCACACCAAATGAGTGAGGCAGAAAAGTTGAAGAAATAGAAGGAAAAATGCATTTAAATGTTATTTATCTAATATAATTTTCATGCTATTATTTAGTAATGACACAAAAGAAGCCATGAAAACACAACAAGGCTACTTCACATATTTATATTTTCTTGCCTCCTGCTTGACCTCACATCACAACACAGCTGCTCCTTACCTGCTCGTTTACCTGCTGGTTGTGGAGGAGGAGGGCAGGTGACTTATTACAAGTGAGAGATAGCAAGCCCTCTTTTGACTGGATCATAAATGACTAAACTTTATTTGTTATCTTTGAAAAAAGTAATATTGCAAGATTGCAAGTTTTGCAAATTGTCTGTAACTTCTTGAGTTTTGGGAACATAAACCATGCCTCACATCAACTGTCCTCATGTCAAATGAAAAGACGAGGCCCTATTGTTTCACACAATACGTTTTTATAAAAGATTATTGAAACATCGTTGAATCAATTTCAGGTAAACCTTAATTTCACTGAATCAATATCAGAATCTAACTATTTAGTATACTTTATAGGCTACATAGGCTACCATTAATATGATAAAACTGTACTAACGGCTGATTGCATTTAATGTAAGACCATGTGAAAAACTAGAAATATTCGATCTGTGCAATATTCAAAAATAACAACAATGTCTGCTTGCCTGATATCGAGAGATCTATCACTGCGTAATCTCCCACTTGACTATAAATCCATAACTTTTTTATTGCAATTCGACATCTCCAGGTGAACTAACTAATTATCAATTCATTTTAATTTTCTTTTAGAACCACGTCTCTGTCTTGCTTGAGTTTTTGACCTTTATATGGTCAAGGTGTCAAATAATTCAGGCTAGTGGTGAGGACATAAACCTCTTGTTTTGTCGCAACCTAAACACAGAATAAAGAGAATCACTCCAAGACTCTACAAACAGAGAGACAGATTGTTAATGACAGATGGACCGACACACCGAAACATACTGACTGCTGTATGTTGTGAGCAGGGCCGGCCCGTGCCATAGGGGCAGTATAGGCAAATGCTAGAGGCGCCAGCCTCTATAGAGGGCGCTGCTGGCACCCCAAATGAGTGAGGCAGAAAAGTTGATGATAAGAAGAAGAAATAGAAGGAAAATGCGTTTAAATATCACTAAATATGATTTATATAATATCATTTTCATGCTATTTAATAATGATCCAAAAGAAGCCACGAAAACACAACTATCACATATTTAAAAAGGCTCTATAATAAAGACATTCTGTTAAATATAAAGCTGAATGACAGTTTTCTTTAAGTGGATGAATTGGATGAATATAGTCTTTGGTGGTCAAACTGGCTATAATTTAAGGGGCAACGGCTGAAATCTTGCCTACGGCACCAAAACGGTTTCACACATAGTCCATAGACATGCTCGTTGGTTATAAGGTGACTACATTGCCTGAAGGTGTGAATGTGAGTGTGGCTGGCTGTCTGTCTCTTTATGTCAGTCCTGTGATTGACAGGTGGACAGTCCAGGGTGTACCCCGCTTCTGGCACCATGACAGCTGGGATCAGCTCCACAAGAGCCCGAACAGAGAAAAAGCAGCACAGACAATGGATGGATGCTTTGTGTTTAGTATTTAGTCTCTAAGACTGAATTTTAGTCATCTTCCTCCTCAGTCAGATATAATACAACCAAATTCACAAGCATACTCATGCTGAGCGTTAAGTTAAAGATGTATTGTCTTTAAAACTAAATATCAGCTAACATATTGGACCCCTATAATTTGCAGGAAAAAAACTAAATTATTTGCAAAAACAGCAAAGTGTTGGAGGCCAGGTTGAGCAAAATCTTTATTGACCGAGAAGAGCAATCACAAATGATGATAGAATATACAACCCCACCAGCATGCCAGCGTTTTCATAGAAACTGTACAATGTGAAGGAATGTATGGAGCAGGAAGTACATCATTATCAGAAGAAACAAACAAAAAAAAAGGTTTTACATCCATATGTTCTGGTACAGTACGAGTCGATTTAGAGTTGTTGTTACGATCGGTACGATACGATACGGTCAGTTGTGTTTAAACTCTCATTCGCCTCTCATTAAGAATTGAGCATGTGTTTTCGCCTGTAGTGTCACCTGACCTTTCCTTTCACTGCTTTCTTTCTGTGAGGCTAAAGGGAGAGTGCCTGGTCACTTTTCCTTTCTCTACTTTCAGTGTTTGTTCAGAGGGTGAGACCAGACACCACCGAGGTCTCCGGCAGCAGCAGATGGTGTCCGGCTCAGCCTCCTCCTCTCTCTGGTACTACTCCTCCACAGGGAGACTCTTGTGACTGGCTGGCTTAGAGTTCTGAACGAGCGAAGTCAAGGAGATTTTTGTTGGGGGGGGTGGTTTATGTTAAGGCAAACAGGGACAACAAATTTAAAAAAAAAGGCAAAAGAAATGTCTGATTTTCTCATAGTTAGTGCTAAGGCCTCATGGCTCAGAGGAACAAAGAGTGCCCAGATTCATCAATACTTTGTTTAGTACCTTTTCTCAGATTATGAACATTCAGCCCCCTTCCATTACAAGGTACGTTTATTTTGGGGGGCAGTGGGTGTGTGCAGAGCTGTATCTGAGTCACCTGTATAAACAGTCTCTACCAGAATAGGGCTGCAGGTGAGTAAGTGCTACAGGTGAGTTGGTAGCGAGAGTAAGCCCTTGATATACAGGCTTCCTGATAGTGCTGCTCTTACACACAAGGCATGCAGAAGGAACATTTTTAGACATTATTCAAAACATAAGGCAGCTTTTTCTTACCCTTATATTCTTTACTCCCTTGTTTACTTTGGGCCCCCAGTCCCCATTCAGAAGGGGAGTGGGTGAATACATTTAGGGAAGGGAGTGAGGTGCCGCAGAGCAGATCTGAATGGATTGTTTTTCCAAGGCAGGTATTGGTAATCATATCAAAAGACAGTAAGCATGTAGGTGATCAAAGGAATGCTGTAGCAAAAGGTTGTGTGTGTGTGTGTGTGTGTGTGTGTGTGTGTGTGTAGGGGGTGCAGTTGGACGTGGTGGGGCCTTAAATGAACAGTTGATTAACAGTGATGTGAATATAGCCACATGACACAACCATTGATACAATTATATAAAAAAAAGGCAAACAAAAGTTGATTGTACAGTTGCTTTTCCCACATGTAAGTCATACTGAGAGAGGAAGACAATTCTGGAGGAGAGGTGGAAGGCGGGGTTAATCTCTTCAAGCAGCGAGGAAATCTGTGAGAAGTGATGAAAAGAGGGCTGGGTGTGAGGAAATAAGGTGCTACACGGCACAGCTCGGTGGACGAGGCGGTGTGGAGTGAGTGAGGACAGAGGTGGGAGAACAGTGGGAAGGTGATGAGTGGACGGACAGATGAGGGGGGTGAGGGAGACTGCTGCTACTGCTGATGCTACTGCTGCTGACAGAGAGGAGTGGAGGACGTCAGGGTGATAAGGCATGAAATGAAGGACAAAGTAAAAACAGAGAAGGCAGAAATGGTGGAGGGGACAGGGCGGGGGAGGCAGCGGCTGAGGAATGATGGGGGACTTTCCCTCGCCCCCCCTCCCCCACAAACAAAAAGGCCTCTATTAGTCTTTCCAGTCTTTCTTGATATTGAGGTTCCACTCCCAGGACAGGTGGTCGTGCTTGTCGTCGTCAGTAAACTTGGATTTGATGACATAGTTGCCTCGGGCGAGCACACCTTTAGGAGCCTCCTCGACCGTGGTCAGGAAGTCGTATTCAGCAGGACGAGGCCCGTAGCTGCCCACCATGTAGTCCGATTTATCAACTGTTCAAATATGAAAGCGGACATTAACAGTTAGGGAGAATAGGGGACTAGTATGTGTAGATAGTCCTAATGTTTCTATGCATATATATAATGATGTTACATTTTCTTTATAGGAAGAATGTGCTACATTTTACATTCTACAAGCCTTTATGTAGAGGACACAACAGTGAGAGTCAGAGACGGGGAGAACAGAGTGGGAAGAAGACATGTGTTAAAGGGGTCATATTCTGCTTTTTCTGGTTTTATATGCTCTTTAGTGTGTTTTCCAAATGTCCTGTGCATGTTTAGGTACATCTATGTGAAAAAATTCAAAGTCCGCGGAAACGCGGCTTCTCCTACCTCCTCCTGTTAGCTGTAGCATTAGCCACATGTAACGCTGGGTTCTAGCCCCCCTTGAAAAACTGTCAGTGTGACGTCTTGTCAGTGTGAGATCACTGATCTAAGCCCATTGGCTCGTTGTAGCAAGCCCTGCAGCTCATGTTGCACGCCCGTTAACTTCTGTAGCACGCCCACGATATGCTGTAGCCTGCGGTAGCACAGTAGTGCTAAGGTGCTAATGTTTTTACTCCCCTCGGAGCCAGAGTGGCTGAGCGACTGACCAATTACGGCAGAGCCGACAGGCCAACCAATCAGATCAGACTTGGCAAACATGGGGACTCTGAACGTGGGCACTTCAGAGCCTTAGAGAGAGAGTCAGAAGAGAGCCGGTGCATGGAGCGGCAGTACATGAAAACAGAGACTTTTTTAAACTTTAGCTATTGTGAACATACTTTAGAAGTTCATAGATTAAATATATGAACCCCAAAAAGGGCAGAATATGACCTCTTTAAATGACTGAGAGCCTGCTGCTTCGAGGGCTAAAGTCTTTGTACAGGGATGCTCCATTTCATCCTGCAGATTATTCAGTGGCATTAACTGGACTCAAAATAATCATATTTCATCAGACTTGGAATTTGTCAAACTAAATAGCCCCATGTCGACAGTTCATATGGACAGTAAATAATATTCTTACTGGGCAACGATCAGATGGGGGGGAAGCAAAGAAGAGTACTTTGTTGACCTTAGTGTTCAGAGGCAGAAAGAGTTCACTTACTCTTCATTCCTTTCCTGTACGTCTGCTGCACATACTTCAGACCTGAAACTATCTCCCTGTTCACCTGAGGAGACACAATCATTGTTAAAGACAAAAAGATCACAAACAGAATATGGCTAATAATCATGGCATCAAACTAACAAGGACTTGTGCAAAGTGACTGTCAGCTAAAATGAAAACATCAGAGTACCTTTAATGCATTTAATCTTTTCAAAAAATAAATAATAATGATGTCACTCTGCCACTTTTACTACTACTGCCCTTATGTCCCATAGCTGGAAAAAAAGCACTATCATGACGTATGACTTTATGTATCCTGGTATTTGTACATGAAGGGTGAGTCGACTATGGCCTGTGTTTCCTGTACACAGCTGGAGCTACAGACGCTCTCACCTTAAAGCTGATCTTTATTTTGTATTCAACTCCCTCCTTCAGGATGAAGGCCTGCTTCTTAAAGGCTTCCAGGTCTCCTGTAGCAAACCAAAAGAGAGAAGCACAGACACTGATATTTAGTTGATCATAAGGTGAAATCAGGATCAAACAATAAGCAAACAACACAGAGTCAATATGTCATATTTGTGGAGAAAACCCTAGGAACCATCTAGAAGCTACATTGGCCCAAAACCTCCTGTGGAAGCCCAACAACTGAACTTGGACAGAGCGGATTTGTGGATGGCCCTATGCCCTTTATAAGGAAAGAAAGAGTTTTAGCCAAGAGCGGCAGATAAAATCTATGACTCAATTATGTATGGGACTGCTTTGCCCATTTCCACCAAGCGGTCCGCTTTGGTTCAGTACAGTTTGGTACAATGAAGCAGAGTTTGTATCACACAGGGCTAGATGTTCTTCTAGCATGAGTCTACTTTTTGTTTGACAAGCCGCTGCCACAGCAACCTTTAGATTTAATTGTTCTGTGGTCTAAATAGTAGTACCCTTTTCACTTCATAAGGATTGCATTTTGTTCAACGTCTGTTTAATAGACAAAATCAGAAACCTCATATCCTCATTTATTTTAAACTAACCATGAATAAGGATTGCACCTTGCTAACAATGCTAGTGGTAACTTTTTAGCTTTTTCAAACCCACTGCTCCCAGTAGCCTTTAATCTAGAAATTGTCCCTTGCCTTTACCTCAATCTGTACTGATTTGTGTTTTAGCTTCCAGGTAGTGATCCTTCTGTTACTACAGCCTGAGCTTGAAGGCTGGAGAACTGCAGCATCAGAAGCTGCTTCACTGGTAGTGATCTAACTCACTCACTGAGGCTGCATGACTCATCTTTAGCAGGATTTTACTATAACTCCACAAAATCATTCTCACAATTACAAAGTATTATCATTATTATTATTTTTTGTTAAGATTTATTTTTGGGCTTTATTGGAGAGATAGGACAGTGGATAGAGTTAGAAATCAGGGAGAGAGAGAGAGTGGGGAATGACATGCAGGAAAGGAGCCACAGGCTGGATTTGAGCCTGGGCCGCCCGCTTAGAGGATTACAGCCTCCATACATGGGGTGCGTGCACTAACCGCTGCACCACCAGCGCCCCCAAGTATTTTAAAGAAATTTAAATATACATGTATGTTTTCTTCTATTGTGTTGTATAGGGAGGGTTGCCAAAAGTGTTTCTCCAAAAAGGACATGCTATATACTGTCAATTCAACCTAACCTACAGTATATAATATACAACTACATCTGAGAACTATCAAGCATATCCTGAACAGAAAAACCAAAAGTAACTGCAAGGCAAGATTCTTTTCCATATATGCTAATAGCTGTTCTTTCCTTATAAGTGGAACTCAACCTTTAAACCTTTTAATGTTTATGATGTTTAAATGCCAGTTTTGTCCTGCAGCTAGCTTCCTAACTTCCCCAGAACATAAGGGAGAGTGGGTGTACAAAGGCAGAAAGAGAACCAGCAGGTCACTGATACTTTGAAGAGAGGCCTTTAACCTTTCTGGGGCATTTCCACCTCTGCAGCTCTCTTTTTTTCCAACATCAGTTTAAACATCAGTGAAAAAAATCGAGCACTTTTAATGACTGTTTCTAACTTGTCATATAATTTTGGATTTCAACTACGTGGCTTTAAAGAGACAAAATCTTTAAGAATTGTAAATCATCTTTTGTTCCTGGTGCTAGTAATGGGACATAGGTGACATTTTCATAAGAGGTATATCAGCTACCATCAAGAGAAAGCAGGGGAGTGGTGCAAAGGCCTTAGTTCAAAAGTATATTTTCAGCATCCCAATAAATAGTTTCTTTCAGGGTAATTTCTCCTTTAAAAAAAAAATCAATTTCAATAAAGAATTCATCTTAGAAAATGAATTTAATGCTTTAAAAGGCATCTACAGTTTGTGCTATCTGGGACTTTACTCTTAAATTAATATTAATATGAACCCACAATCAGACAAACTCTAAACTGATCTATTTCTATTGACAGTCTTTATTTAAGTCTTTACATTTACTGGAGAAGGTAGGAGACTCGAGGGGGGCAGGGAGAGGGAAGACACGGGACAGAATGTTCTGGATGGATTCAAATCTAGGCCATCTGGAGCGTGAGCAGCTTCAGAGGCAGAGGTCTAAACCACCAGACGGTCCAGAGTTCATTTTTAAAGTCATCAGCCAAACAGAAAAAAATTATCTTCCATCTCTTCCCCTGTGGAGAGAATCTGTGAGACCAATGTTCACGCTCAGTCAAAATGAAACCTGCACAGACTGATCACCTGCTTCTGTTAATCAGGGATACAAAAGCAGGAAAAAAGACCCCATGCCCCCAAACACAACAGTCATACAAAGTATTAGAACCCCTCAATAAATGTTTAACTGACACAAATACTGTGCATACAAGTTCATTTGATTTAAATCACAATCATGCCATGAGGTAGTTTAATATTTGTATAATATATATATTTACATAATATTGCATATGTGGCACCATCAGGTAAGGGAAGTCCTTTAAAGTTTTTATAACCAGACATTTCTTTTTCCTGCATTCTACATGTAGTTTTGTATGATAGTATTAAGTTTACCACTTGTAAGAAAGGCAAAAATATGCTAATTTAAGCATAATCCAGAACATGATCATGACCGAGAAGCCGATTTCTGGAATTATTCCGGAAGAACCACAACCCTTTTATATAACTTTTGATTTCAACTATTAAAGTTGGGGTAAAACAAAAGAGCTAGGGGAAGCAGGGACCTAGCAGTTAGTGAGTGCGCCCCATGTACGGAGGCTGTAGTCCTCTAAACAGGCAGTCTGGGATTGTATCTGACCTGTGGCTCCTTTCCCACGGGTCATTGTCCACTCTCTCTCTCTCTCCAAGATTTCTGACTATCTACTGTCCTATCTCTAAATGGAGGCATAAAAAGGCCCAAAATAAACCTAAGAAAACCTATTTTTATATGACCTGCCAACTCTGTCAAAATTATGTATTGAAATCCATATCACTTAAACAATATATCCTTTTAAGCAAATATGTTACATATACAGTACTAATGTAGTTTTAGCTTTTAAAGCCAGCCTGACAGAGACTCACCTTTCAAGTCCAGGATCAGGGGGTCCGGGGCCATTTCACAGACCAGACACATTTGGGTCACTTGGACATTCGGAATAGTGGGATCTGAAAAAGGATTTAAAAAAAAAAAAAAAAAGGTTGGTACTCACTATTAACCAGTCCTTGAATCATTTATCTCCTCCCTGAATATTAATTATACAGCCATTTGTTGGATTTCTAATAACCAGAGAGATTGACAACAAATCAGAGTTTCAATTGGTTTTTTGTATATATTGACAACATGTGCACAGGTGCTTTTAATCTGCACATGATATGTGTCCCTTAACAAGCACCTATCTAAAGCTGTATTCAAACTGCCCGTTCAAGGTGCCATATTTACATCCCTGTGACATTTCGCCTTCAATATAAATGTCACATAGGCGTAATAATGGCAGAGCTTCATAAAGAAAAATGTCTCGGAATCGAACTCTGACAAAGGGTTTAAGTGAGTGGCTTTAGGGGGCTGAAATCAGGACAGCTCTGCCATAGTTGGAACAACCTCTGCATTAATTAAATTTCACCATCTTTAAAAGCAGCCTTTCTTCCCCACTTAGACAAGACACAAGCATCATCATCAGCAATCAACTTGATAGAAAATATATTTGGTCACTGGTTGCAATGAATAAATGCATATTAAATACCGGATAAAGGCACTAGTATTCCACATTTGCCCATTATACCACCTTCAGAGTCTAAAGGTGGTATAAATTAGATGCACCCCACTTAGCATTATTTGTTTACATTTGCAAGTATGTTTTTATGAAAGTAAATGTCATCATATTATATGTGTGTTTTTTTTTGTAGGGCTCCACTAGTCTAAGCATTCTATATATTTTTCAAACTAAGAAGTAGGTGGTGGCTTTTGGCTATTCACGAAATACAAACTGAATAGCAAGTCTGTCAATAACAACAATCCAGGTGATCACAGCAAGTCAGGTTTGTAGTCCTTGAATGTGCACATGACAGACCGCTCCTGACAGAGTTGCTGGAATCTCCAAGTTAAACTTGTTCTCAGCCAATTACATTAATGTTCAATGCTCTGAGTGTAGAAATTCAATATTTGTTAAGAAGGTGTGAAGCAGGATCACAGGTTCCATCTTTCCATACATAAGTTGTTGTAAACACAGATACAGAATGGAGAAGAATAATCAATCCAGCAGATCCACACAGGCTGGGTGAGTGCCAGCATTTTATTTGGAAAACTGTGCCTCTCCTGCATCGCACACACACACACGCACACGCGCACGCGCACACGCACACGCACACGCACACGCACACACGCAGCATTACCAGCCTCAGTGGGTCCAGAGCCAAGTAGAGCTTCTTTATATTTGCGTAGACTCTCGTCATCTTTATCCAGATCCTGGATCTCTTTCACAGACTTCACGGCTGGTGCCTTGTAGTTCACCTGCTCTTGCTCCTCGTTTTCTGCGGCGATGGCTGCTAGCTGCTCCTCAGTCACCTCATCCTCAGCCATGTCTTGAGAGACAGCAGGGAGGAAGAATAGTGAAGGCAGAAGGGAAAGAAAAGATAAAGATTTGAACATCAAGCAGATAATTCTTCCTTTATTTCTAATGGACTCTTGTCTCTTTTGAAATAAGTTGTTATTTGTGGCACAAACAGATGTGTTAAAAATGAATCCAGCCTGCTGGATGTCGTGTCTGAGAGGTTGTGCTGTTAAGGCTGCAAGCTTTCTCTTAATACTGTTGATGACCTAACTGTGGCTGCTGTGTGATATCATCTTCACACATTTCTCTGAAGTAACATCTCCTCAAGGAGAGACAGGAGTGAGGCATTATGTATCACATGATACAGAATATCTTGCTGGAGGGACCCCTCACATGCTCAGACATTAGGTAGGCCATAGGAAAAGGACTTTGTTCCTTTGGCAAAACAACTATCTATCCCACTGTCTTTTCACCTCTATGTCTCTCACTGCTTTGTTGCATGTTGTATCCAACTCTTCTCCCCTTTGCTATTTGCATCTACCCTCCTATCAAATATAAGGGGAAAAAAACACAAAATGTCTTTAATTAAAACTTTTTTTTTATAAATATGGACACGCAGTGTGCTTCAGTTTGTTTTGTTGAAGGACCAAGCTGATTTTGTCTGCATCAAAAGCAGATAGATAACTTTATTGATAACTGTATTTTTATTTTTGACTTTTTGTGATAACAATCGATTCATTTTACAAGGATCTTGGTTTCAAGTTCCACTACAGTACATATCAGTGGGTGCAATCACTTTTGTTTTACCTTGTCATAATAGACGGCTATCTATCTAACAAACGTTTATTGGACTAGTAATCTTAACATCTGTGCTCTTTGCTAGGGAGCTTAGTATTGGAGAAATTCTCTGTACTAAAACATAATGAGTAACAAAAGCAGGATGGGCTTTGTTTATACCAGAAGGGTTCATGTTCATGTTGAGGTCATCCCACCAGAAACACTATACATGCACAACAGGCCTCAAATCGCTTGTTACAGACTCCAGCAAGGCAGCAGAGACATTTTTACTGTTAGGATTTGTGTCCACTCATTACTGTCGGATTCTTTTACAAATCCTGAGTGAAACAATGTTTAATATTGTCAATAATTATGACAACAGTCGGCGGTTTGCTACACTGGGAGAAAGCTTACAGACGGTTCTGTGCACAAAACTCATTTGCAGTAATGTGGAAATCCCACTAAGTGAGTTAAAGATGTAAATTAAGATGTTTACTCTCTGTTTCCCTCCTGTGCAGCTTTTGAGCTGGCCTGAGCATAAAGGGTACTGAAGAGCTGTGTCAACCTGCAGAGAGCTGATACGCCATAATACAGCCAGCTGCAACTGAACTCATCTGCAGATCAATAGATAAGCAGATACGTCAGGAAAATGAAATAGGCTGCAACAGCAGTGATGATTGTTACATAATTAAAATGTTCTTTGGAACAAAAATCTGCGCTTTTATCTATGCTGTATAATCATACTCATAATATTTAGATTGTAGCCAACGCTGTTCAGAAAAAAGTGGACACCGTAAAACTAAAGTCACTCAGTAGTATGTTTATGTGCAAATAGCAAAAGCTGATTCATTCGGTTAATCTGACTAAAGCTGGACTTTTAAAGTGCGTATAAACATGTAAGTCAGGCTTAAATAGTACTAAATTGAATTTAGTAAAGTCGGACTAACACTAGATAATACGTGTGGAGATCAATTAACTCGTTAGTCTCAATCAGACCCAAAGTGGACTTAGAGTTTTGTGCATGCTCCACAGTTCCCCGATCACAAATGTGTTATAAGGATGATACTTAAGTCCTGATTATATTGAGTCACCATAACTATAACTCAGCGTTATCCTGTAAACATGTAAGGCAGTTGTGATAACACTATATAGATTCGACCTGAAGCAAAACAAATGTGAGCATTTTCCTGGTTCTGTCATCTGGCATGCCCAAACTAGCAGCCGCCAGAGGAATGTATGCAAGCACTAAAGGAGCAAACTCTTATATACTGTAGTCATAAATGTGCCTGAGCAGAGTCTACAATTTTTTTTTTTTTTTTTTTTAAATGTTCATTGATCTTCTTTACAATTTCACCAATATTCACACACACTCTCATTTTTAAAAGGAATCTGCAACAAATGTAAATGTTCACTTTCAATCTGGTTGCACTGGGATCAAACACCCCTCTTTAAGTCAACAAAAGAATAATATTCTTACATTGTTTCATTAAGGAAAAATTTCTCTTAATTGTACCTATTAAAATATTTAGTTTACATATCGTCCAACGTTTGAGGAAAAGACAGAGTAGACCCAGTTAGAAGATGGCTCATAAAACAAAAACACTGCAGTAAAGGAGGGCTGACTCAGTTTTTATTAAACATTCCTTTGAACACAAATACACTCTCCTGTACTGTATATCATTTATTTCTACGGGACACCACATTTGGAACAAGGGTGTTATTTTTTAAACAGGAGATGGCCTCCTATGGCGGAGGAGGGGGCTTCATTGTTAATGCATTACGTAACTGCTTCTTGTTCATAGCTTCAGAAGTTGTTCTTAAGGATGTACATGAGATGTACATGATTTGATTAATTTGGCATTTGCTGCTAAACTTGCTACTGCAAGTTCTCTTCTTCTATATATATCAAATGGGTTCAAAGTCAAAATTCTTAAACTGGAGCTTACGACAGGTAAAATATTAGGCTTTGTTCATTAAGTGTCGAGACATCTGGGGATTGCCCTATGTGAGACAAATGTGACAGACCCACCTCACCTGGTTGGAGGAGGAAGAATCAGAGTTTTGTTAGCACACTGCTCTGTGAACCAGAGAGAAGGAAAGAGAGCTCATTTTCCCATATACAGAGGAAATGCACAGAGGTCTGGTTGAATCCTGCCTCACAATGGTTTACCTCTTCTGCTGGCCTACGTTTCCTCTAAGTAAATCAATTTCTGTACAAACAATAAGAATTATTTATCCAGTTTGTTACAGTCTATGCTGGCCTGAAACAAATATTTAATGTCTAGGGAAACAAAATTGTAGGGAAATGATGTAGACGACCAACACGTTCACCCATTGTATTAAATGTGTAAATTAATTTTTTCATGATGGCACTGTCACGTTAAAATTCTCAGCTGTGTTGGCAGTGCTGTCTCTTTATGTAAATACTTCGCAGATAATATGTAATATTCACAGTGGAACACCTGTCTATGAGGGACAAAAAATGACTAAAGTATAAATAAATAAATGTTGGGAGAAATGCATACAATAACGTATAAATAAATAAATAATTAAATAAATGCATCAATACATATATAAATAAATATATTCATATTTTTATTTATGTATTTCTGTGTCCATGTTGTACAAGGAAAAGTAAATATGTAAATTAAGTGGCCCGTCCTAACATTACTGAAGTAGGATTGGTCAATTTTGAAAAACAGACAGAAGCAAATTTACAAATATACTTTTCCTCTTAGGACCTGGACACAGAAATAAATAGATGTGTAAATGTAAAAATACGGAAATAAATTAATAACTCAATTAATGTGGAAATGTATGCATTGATACATATATAACTGTAGAAATACGCTAATAAATGAATAAATACATGTAAAAATATATAAATAGCCTTTTCATTAACAAAGTGTATTTATTACTTATTTATTGATGTACTGTTTTCAGCATTTATATATTTATTGATGCATTTATTTAATCATTTATACATTATTGTATACATTTCTCCAAACATTTATTTATTTATACTTTAGTCATTTTTTGTCCCTCATACCTGTCAAGATGATAACCGCAGCTACAGTAACGTACAGGTGAGGACCGCTGGTTCCACTGGAGGCTGGCATCTATTCAAAGAGCCGGCTACATACCGCTTTTGACAGGACGCCTCGTTAGCGGAAGCACATATATCCAAAAACGTTTTGCCTGATTGATAATATTGATTTACAGTCAAAGCAAAGGGTCCAATTGTCCTGGCGCCGACCCTCTTATTAAGGGTGGGTCTAAGGAGACACAAGTGGCTAGCAGCTGTTAGCTCGTTGTGAACAATTCAACAGAGCTAACCAGAGCTAACATTAGCTTGACAGGTATCATCGGTTAACGGAGAACATGAGTGAAATACAAGTGTTAGTATCCGGTTAGCATCATCCTGGAACTCCCGTCATAGATACCTTTGACACTGAGAAAACTTACCGTTCTTTTGTATGCAGCTGTGATTTCAGGTGCCTTTCAGTAAGTGCGTTCGTCGCACCGCGCTCCAGTGGAAGTATGGCGAACAAGGGAACGGCGCCGCCCCGTGTGCGTCATCCGCGTCAACAAGGAAAAACGTGATGACGTGTTACGTGCTGCGTGACATCCAACAAAGAGGTTTTAATTGTTGAACTCAAGGTACTGCATCCATGTTCAAATTCCTCCTTTGACTGGTTTATAAAGGATTTCAAATATTTTTTCTTAGCTCTGAAAAAATGAAATCTAGCAGGATTGCTAGAAAGATTAGTGCTGATTTATCGAAATTCTTGTTATTTTGATTTCTGGCCCTTGTTGAATTGTTTTGTCCTTGCTGCAGTTTGTTGTCTGCTTACGTTTGCCTGATATTTACTTTTGGAAAAGTTTGATTTTTATTTATTTATTTTAATATATAATCCCCCCTAGTCTTGATTTATGTTTGAATTAACTTGTTCCTGTGTATTTTGCTGTTTTATGTTCATCCTTTATAAGACTTTGTATAAACTTTTTTTTGTATATTTTAAATTTGTCAATAAAGACGGTTTAAAAAAAAAATAATCATGTTCAAATATGTTCAAAGCAACAAAGACGTCTCGCATTTTTAAATAAATTAAACTTGAATGAACCAAATATTAGACATAGGATATATGGCCTGTTAAAATGTTTTGCTGTATCACTTAACATTTTATATTAAATGAATGAATTTCCCTCGGAATCAATAAAGTATCTAACTTCATGACTGTTTTTCATAACACTTTGGTGTAAATAAAACAGATTGTTGTACATGCATACGCATAGTTAACAGACAAATATTATATTGTAAACCCTTTTACAACTGGATTCAAAGAAAGATGTCCAGTAACTGGTTTCTTTCTCATCCTCAGTCACTTGCTCTCACCAACTCTTGACCTAATTAACAAGGACAAAGCATGTTCAGAGGATGAAAAAGAAACCTTAGTCAGGAAATTAGAAAGACACTCAACCTTTACAAGCTACTTGGTTTTGAAGACGAGTAAGAAGGACGGTAGCCGTTGTTGAACTTTCAATGGACTGTTTCATAACCAATATTACGCTACAGTATTTCTTACCTTAGACATTTGCTCAAACATGGGCAATGTCTGACACATTCCTGACTTTGAAGTGTTCAGCACTCTGATTTTTACACCTAAAGACAACCAAAAAATAAATGTACTGCATCTATATATTCTTTAGTAGTTTTTGCCTGTAAAAGTATTGCTGTTTACTTTCATCCAATTACTCTATTGGTCATACACCAAAATACCAAAGAAACTACCAGCATGTGATTATCTACTTGGCCCGAAACCCTGCTCTTAATCCCATCACTATTCTCCGTTTGTGCCATTTTTTATTATCCCGTAACTGTCAATTGCAGCCACATTAATTTTACTCACACTTCAGAAGCTTATTCAGTTTACTACTTCAGATGCCTGAACAGCAAATGTTGGTTTAGCTGAATTAAAATGTGACATTACATGCTATTTAGTAACATAAGGATTCAAATACTTCTATTAAAACACAGATACTGTAACAGTGTAGAACAGTGTCACTTTTTAAATAAACAACAAAAAGATGACTCAATATAATCATTTATGTACAAAACTCTTTGAAATGTCCATATGCCAAGTTTACAGTTCCAAACAGCAGAACTATATACAACATTTAACATCTTCAACATTACATGTAATTGTCTGTCAAACCATTAAATCATGTTCCCATGGTTTTGAAAAAAAAAAGAAAAAGAAAAATCATATTGAATGTTCAAAGTGTCCATTTGGAGGACGCTGGAGCTGGTGACCAAAAAGAATAATCCTCAAATCATAAAACCAAGAGAACACAGCTACAAAAATATTTAATAAAAAAGTCTAAATCGACCATAATGGTCTGCACAGTAAAATGGCTTCCAAACACAAGTATCAAGATGTGATCCATCATAATCATTCATTCAGAAGTAAGAAAACAACGGTCTGAAATGAGCAGCATCCTCTCTGAGCACTTCTAACTGGTGTCCATCTGAAATGAAATATGAGACAAGAGATTATTAAATTATCACTAAGAGCTCAAAGTTTTGTCACTGTGTAATACTACATTTCAGTACTAGTTAAATACAAACCTTGGCATTGTAAGCATCCAACTGGGCATCAAGCTCCTCAGCAGTAAATTGGGGTCTGTTTCCTCTTCCCCTTCCTCCGCCGCCCCTCCTCCTCCTCCTCCTCCTCCTCTGCCTCTACCTCTTCCTCTGAAACCTCCACTGCTGCCACCTTGCCTCCTTTCACCTCTGTCCCTCCTTTCACTCCTTTCAAACTTGGGCTGTCCAAGCCGGCTGCGATCAAACCCTCTGCTTTAACAGAGAAAGACAAAACCATATCATGCATTTGTAGAGACCACATTTTTATAGTAAAACAACCGCTTAACCAGTCACTGATTTGACTGCAAGATAAGCAAGCTTATTAGAAGTAAGTCAAGTTTTAAAAAAAATTCTGAATCAAAGAATTAGCAGAGCTGTCAAGTTCAATCATCAAAATCAAGAGGGTGGAAAACTCTCAGTATTTTCTGTCATTCCCTTCCTCCTTTTTAGAACAAATTGGAAGGTATAAAAAAATAGCATAGAAATCCCTTAGCCTGCAGCAACACAGCACAGAAAGACTTTAAAAGAACTGGAAATCTGCCTTCTGCCCGTAAGTCAGAGTTTTGGAGGCAGGTTCCTTCACTTTTAGTCTCAACAGTAACTGTATAACTATATTTATCTGAGCACAAATGTTCACGTTTTTATGTTGTAATTTCTGAAAACGAAAGAAAAAAGGCCATTAAGACTTCATTAAGTTACACTAATATTAAGCTGTGTAAACTGTGATGACCTCAGTGTTGCAAACTGTTTGCAGCCCGGTTCTGATAAACTTCACGAGACCACCCTCACTTGAGACACATATTTAAAACGGACTGTGAACAATTGTTCTTACATTTCTCCTAATGTTGTCTCTATTTTTAAAGCCTGTTTTTGAAATCAGTATCTTTACAGCTCACTTCTGTTCTGCTAACCTTCGTTGACTTTATCATGACGTTTGCTTTTAAATGTGTTTCTTGGTTGTGGATGGACTTTTAGGCCTTCTGTCTAACGTAGGCACACTGACAGTAATGTCTTTACTTTGCACTGCAATTACAAAGAGTGAAGAAATTGAGTGCGTCAATGAATTCACTGTCAGTCTCTATTTTAAGATTTTCTGTAGGTTATCGGACCAGAATATGGTATCCAAGGTGTTGTGGTTTTTGTTTGTCGTCTGATCCCTATCTTAGCTCATGTAGTAAGTAGAACTTACAAGAAATATATTACAGTCTCTGAAAAGATCAGAAGTGGAAGTCAATCATAAATCTTAAAATCAATTGGGGAAATTGAATTGTGGACTTGGAGAATCAAGTCATTATTACTGTCTCTAAATAAATCTCTATTATCCACCATCACAAACTCAATGGCTCACATCTGCATTCAAAGTGCATGGCCACCATGTTGCAACTTACCTTTGTACAGTTTGTCTACTCGGTGTGTCGTCATCGTCTGAAGTCACTTGCTGGACTTTCATGGGGCGGCCTTAAGAATAAAAGGTTATAAAAAGAGTCAGAATCCTTTCCCTCCTCGAGACGCAACCCTAGGCAGAAATTTCATTTAGCACGGAAAAACAGATCTGTACCGTCAAGAGGGACGCCGTTATAGTGCTTCATGGCTTTGACGGCATCCGCCTTATTTTCAAAGTGAATGTCTGCAGTTCCTTTACTGCGACCTGAGCGGTCGTAGTGTACGGATGCTTTACTTAATTCGCCAAACTCTTCAAACAATTCCTGGAGATAAGAGAAGAAACATCAGTTTTATCCCCCCTACATGGTGACAGTACTGTGATTATGGCTGGATAAGGATTGGTAACATACCTTGATATCTGAGTCAGAAACGCCAAAGTCCAGATTGGAAACCAGGAGCTTGCCGCTACTTTTCTACACTTCTTTCTGCCACTGCACTCGGTCCCCTGCGTCCGCCAACATGCTCCTCAAACATGTCGTGCTGCCATTTGTCTGGCAACTCTCTGGGCTGTGAAGAGGAGACGACAACACAATCTTCAGGTTCTGTGTGGTCTAATCAAGTTTACATTCTCAGTAGATAAGTTTGATGTTGTTTTGTTGTTCCTTATTCACCATGCCCTTAATAACTTATCATTTGTATTTGCCTACTTGCACATAGCTCTGTGTGTGTGTATATATATATATATATATTTATTTCTTGTTTACTGCACTAGTTTTGTTTACATCTGTTAGTCGATCACTGTCACTTATATCTATCTTTTATATTTTGTATTTTGAAGTTAAGTTTAAGCTTTAAGTTGTATTTAAATTGACACTTTATATTTAGGTTAAAATGTTTCGTTTACTTGTACTGTTGTTAATTTACTGCTCTGTGAGACTTTGAATTGCACCCCGGTGACAAATAAAGTTTTTTTGAATTGAATTGATGAAGCAGGAAACTTTGTGCAAAGCACATGGCATGCGATTGTTGAGGTGTTCAGAACACGTCAAAATGCCTTACATTAAAAAATAAAAGACAATCAGGTCAGTGATCTCGTCACATTTGGCTGTTTTGTAACCGCATTTTCACTCTGACCATTTTTTGGGGGGATTCGAGTACGTTAACAGCTGCGACTCTAGTAAACACATTATAATATAATATTTATATTAATATAATATATAATATTTTATTATGATGGAAACGATTCAGCTAATCCCCCTCACCTTACAAAAAAAGGACATCGTCTGACTCACAGCAGCATCTTGGATCTCACATGGGGACCAGTATCCGACGCGCGGCTTTTATTAACATTTTTTTGTAAATGCTGTTAATTTCAGTGGGAAACGCGGCACATGATGTTAGAACATGTGCAGTCAGTCAGTCAGTCAGGCGGACATTTTCATTCAGGTGAACGGGGACTCTTTAGCTTCCTGTTGTTGCTTAGCATATTATA